ATATCGAATTCTCTTTTGGTGTGTGCTGAGAACATATTATCTAGCATATCTTTAAATTGTTACCACAGGTTATAGTCATAGCGCTGGTTGTAAAGAAGAGAAGGCTATTGAAAAATAACTTTAAAAAGCAATTCTGTAGACTTCTGTAAGGTACGATGGGTGCATGTTGCAGAATGCTGGGTTCAAAGGGACATACGTTACTGGACCAATTTTTGTAAATTCAATCCTGTGTCTTTATTTTAAATTTTAATTGCGTTATACGTATATGACCTTGTTTTATAATAAAGGTACGCATTATACGTTACTAAATTAAGAAAGTATTAAAAAAAATATTTTTTCTTATTACTCTTGACCTATTATATTGTTTTGTTAGCGTGTCACGTTGTAAACATTAAGAGTTTTCATAAATTGTAATAACGAAGTAAGGTCTTAAAAGAAATTATCTCTATTTGCATATGTTGAGTATGTTTACAGGAATAGTTTGAGTATGCTGAGAGGGGGTTTCATAAGATATTTTAAAATTCCTTTATATTCAAATCATCATGAAAATAAATCAATTTGAGTGAATGGTTTTAATGTCGTTTTAATGGTGAGTGACTAATAAAATAAATTTTTATGTGCCCAAAATTGAGTGACATTTGAGTAGTTATTGTCATAAAAGTTACCAACTGCCATTAACAGATAAAAAACCGTATTAACTTTATCTAACAGATAGCAGAGTATTACTAAAATAGTATCTTAACCATTATGAAATACTGAGTTTAGCAAAATTGTTGTTAATTTTTATTGAAATAAACAAAACAATATGGCAACTATGGCGAAAACTTTACCCATATAATTTCAATAGTTTGAAATTACAATAAATTATTTCGATTTCATTTTTCTATTTTTTTTTGGTTGAAATAACTATTGTATCTCGTTAATTATGTGTTTCTAGCGCACAATAATAGCTACAAAACACTTCAAAATAGACAAAATTAAAATATAAAATGAAAAAATTGATTACGCATTGTAAATATACGAAAAAAAAAAAATGGAAAACATTTTTATATCATGAATATTAAGAAAAATCTATACTATTAGAAGGAAAATTTTGGGGAAAAACAATAATAATAAATTTGTCATTTTCATTTTGTAATAACATTTTTTTTTTCTATTTTGACTATTTTGCAAAAGGACCCTGCCCTCGTGGCACATTCGCCTGTGACAATGGTAAATTGTGCGTGCCACAACGTCAAATTTGTGATAATCGCTTGGATTGTAAGGACCAAAGCGATGAGCATCCTGTGGAGTGTGGTTTGCTTTATGGCAGTACGGAATTGACCAATAAAATTGTAGGCATACAAATGGAGAAACACAAGCAACAATTGAAAGGAACTGCTGAGAAAAGCAGCAACAACTCCAACACCACCAACAACACCAACAACATCAACAACAGTAGCAACATCAACTACAACGGATCTAGAGTTGGAGTTGTAGGCACGTCAACAGCAAATGGAACTATTACGCCAAGCAGCAATGGTGGTATCACTGATACAAATAATAGTTATAGCAAAAGCCAAAGTGGCAGTAGTGCAAATAAAACGCCACCAGATTGTGGTAAGTTAAATACCAAAAGTAATTGGATTTAAAATATTAATTTTATAAAGAAATTTGATATTTGATATTTAAGCCAACACCTAAGGAAGTCATTTAAGTACCACAAAAATTGTTGAAAAGGACAATGATATTAAGTTTGTCAGAGACTTTCTGTTAAACGTTTTAAAATAATTGCTAAGCTTAGTGAACATAAGCAATAAAAGTTTATATAGTCTTTGGAATTTTTAATATCCAATAAGAAAGAAAAATACAAAATTATTAGAATAAAAATAAAATTTAATAGAACAAAACTTAATAAGAAATAGTACAGAATAAGAAATTAGAATTAGAAATGTATGTTTTTCTAAAGTTAGTGCTAAAAAAAGAGAGAGCTCGTGACAAATCTCAAAATAGAGTATGTTCATTTTTAGTCTATAAAGATTGTTCAGATAATGTCAATAACCATTAATTATCTCTTTAACACTTCAAGATTTGATATAAATAGGGAACCTATATTTCTCAATATACTTCGTTAAAGATAAAACAAAATCCGTTCTAACTAGTTTTATTGATATTTTTCGATTTGATTCCTCAGTACCTGTAGCTACCTATTAAATTGGTGAATAATAGGATCATAATAGGATCTTTTATATTAAGATCTAAACCATTTAGACACTAACTGTATAATTGCATCAAAACAATGTGTATGTTTGTATAAAGTTAATTTATTAGATCAATTAAACAGTTCGACATTGCTCTCAAACTGCATCCATATATGTAGAAACCATAAGTGTCGTAGAAAAAATTGTGCTTGAAATGTGTACTAAAAAATGTTTTCTTTTGCAGTGTATTAACTGCAGATTATATTGCCAATGGAATGCTCTATCTCTTAATCCCATATCCTTGATACGTCACGAAGCAATTATATAGTTTTTTGACTTTTGACAATGTAGATTGTTATATTATATTAAAAAAGCATTCAGTTTTTATTGAATTGCTATGACTGCTATTTTAAGCAGTCATAAGTGTTGTATGAGTTGTAATAACCAGACCCTTGTGACACCGAAAATAGGTCAGTAAAACACAGTTAGTGTACATTTTTTTTTATAGAGTTTAATAATATGAATACAAGTAAGAAGTGAGAAGAAACGGAATCCATTCTGGATCTATTTGAAGAACCTAGGTGCATTAGAAAATGACGAGATTATTTTCAATATGCAATTGATTAGTGGGGCTTAAGTCGTGCCTCTACTCTGACAGTCTGACAACTATGATTCTAGTCGGATGCCATGCAATGAACTGTAAAAAGTCAAGTAAATATTATAATATAGGTCACTAATTTTATAATAAATTTTGACTCATATCTCAAATGTGACAGTATTATCTGAGTGTCAATTACTATTCACTATTATGATTTTTTTTTCATCAATAGATAAATGCACGAAGATATTGGAAAAATCAAGGATTTTGTTTCTCTTATAGTATCAGCAACATGTCTAGAAGCTTTTTAGCAACATGTCTATTATGTGAACATGATTCAACATATCCAGAAGCTTTTTAGGAACATGTATATTATGTGAACATGATTCACTGAATAGTTATTAGAGTTGATTTCGGGAAGAATGGAATAAATTTTAAGAACATACTTTAGAGAGTTTCCACTAATGATTTTATTCTTTCTTCTAATTATTTGCAACTTAATTAAAACTATTCCTATGCTTAAGTTTTGCAATTAAAAATAAAAATTATTCTTATTCTAGTAAAAGGTAGGATTTTTAGTTTCCATTCAAACTCTTTTCGATTTCATTACGAAAACTGCAAAGTACACCTTCTATACATTATTTTTATTACTCAAAACAATTTTAGCTTAGATTTCTTAAAAGAAATAGTAGAACATATTGTATTATTTACTTACATCTAATTTGAGTTATTTCTATCGCTTTACAGAAATCGTAACATATCCGAAACAGTGTACCTGTAGATCAAAAACCATACTTTATTGCGGTCAATATGCAAAAATCAACAGAATACCAAAGATAAGCGCAGAGGTAAGTGGAATCCAAAAGTTTTCCAAGTTTACTAATTTTAATCAAACCAAAATATATAAACAAAACTACCAACAACAATTAAGAGTTCAAAAATTTAAATTTATTTACACAGGTGACAAATTTAATGATCAACCGAAACAATTTAACTCTGCGTGAAAATGCATTTAGTAAACTTAAGCATTTACAAAGGCTGTAAGTATAAACAATACCTCTAAACGTTTACATTTAAGAACGTTTTTATATATACTAACCCTCGCTGATATACAATCAGGAGTGAAAATCACCGACATTAAAAACAGAATTAAATTTCCAGAGAAGTTAATTCCTTTCCACAATCTAAATCCGTTTCGCTATTCTATTCTCCTTTTAATTTCTTTCGTTTCATGTGGCGCCGGTTACAGTACCTTAAAGTACAATAGCATATCAGTACTACCTCAAGGAACATTTCGTGGGCTTCCACAACTGGAGCGCCTAGATGTGCGCTACAATAATTTCAGCAGTTTGTCGTTTGGTGTTTTTCACGGCCTAGTATCGCTGCAATGGTTATTCCTAATATCAAATCGACTGGAGCATTTTACATTGACACATTTGCTGGATATGCCCAGACTGGAATGGTTAATGCTGAGCGATAACTTACTCACATTGCGTAATGATAAATTTCCACGCATGAATCGCCTATACGAGCTGTAAGTATTGCACTGCTAATAAACTTAAATGAGCGTTGAAGGCAAATCGAAAGGGTTTTGTCGATGCCGGCAATGGGGTAGTGTGTGAATTGCGGACGGAAAAGTCAAACATATGTTTTGAGGCAACGTTTATTTTGTTGGGAAAGGCAGATTTGTGCGATTGATGCTGCCTTGCCTGGTAGCAGTAATAAAAGTAAATCGCTTCTGTAAAATGTTATTGACATTTTCCCTTTTTTCTCGTGTTTTAAATTTCATTTTCTTTCTTTGGGTTACGTTATGTCTTGGGTTAAAATATTTCTTAGTTTTTATTATTTTTTATTTTTTGTATTAGAGTGATTTTTATATGAGCGTAAAATTATTGATGCGTGAATTTTACTTAATTTGCGATGACATAAACAACCGAGTTTTCAGCCTATTTTAGCAGCAAGTTTAACAAAATCTTTAGGATAATATAAGTCAGAAGCATGAATGGGAAACCAGTGTGCAGTTCATTTGATAACATAAACTTATTGATGTATGTTTGATATATAGTAAAAGTATCACACTTTAGCAACACTAAATACTTTTTTAATAATTTAATTAACTCGATTTTTTTTAATCTAAACAGGCAAGATTTTTGCAAAATATCAAAGTAAATATCGTAGATCCTATAAATATATATATTTATTTTTTATCAAGCTCGACGAGTTCATTTAGTCTTATCCAGCTGTCCATTTTAACCCAAACTACTCATTTTTTCAGTCATTAAAATAAAACTTTACGTACATACTTTTCGAGATCTGATCGTCGTCGGATTTGTCAGACAACAATTGAGAAATTGTTTTCTTGTTTTTAAGAAAAATATACAAATAAAGATTGGTACATAAGAGATTATATAGGATTTTATATAGCTTTATCGGTTCAGATTTTAATATAGCTGCCATAGAAAATACCGAATCAGGCATACATTTTCTTTGGTATGTACTATAAATATAGCTCTTAAATATTCAGATGATATTGGAACATGTATTTCTTAGAAAAACTTTTTTGTCACATATATATTGTTATATAAAATAGATAAGATAATACTATTTATTATATATAAATATATATAAATGTAAAGTGTATCTATAGTAAGCTTCGGCAGAGCTTAAGCTAGCTAACATCTTTATTGTTTTAAAATATGTAATGATATCATTTTTAGATTTATTTAATTGTTTTAAAGAAGTTTACAATCCCATATCACCTTAAAAAATGAATTTATTTGAAACAGATTTTTATTGGTTTTGTGCAAATATATATTAATATAATATAATCTGATATTACTGGATCCCTCATTGTCACTTTTTTCATTATACTCATATTGCGGCGAATATTGATAAGAGCAAACACTGTTTTCACTATCACTACTAGAAAACATTTAATTTTATTATAAAAATTTTAGTCTTTATATACATATTTTATTATTTAAATTTATATTTTTTTTTTATTTTATACATAAACATTTAAGTATTTATTAAGCGTTGGTAAAGATTATAACACATTAACGACGACGACGACGACGACTGATTTGTGATTGGCTGACGCTAGCAGCGCAGTTTGATTTACGTCGGCAGCTATCGGCCGTAGGCCATGATTAGCTAAGCCATGACTAGTAAATCTTCGGTTTTCTTTGTGATTAATATAATAAGCTGCGATGTAAATTTTTCGGAACATATGAATCTAATCTCATAAGAATAATAATAGTTTTAATAATGCATCAATGCAAGTTCTGATTTTAGTATTAAATTGCTTGTAATAGACAACAAATAACAACAAATAAGCATATGATTAACTTATAACTTCATTTCATTGATGTTGGAAGGTTCCGGAGTAACATGCTTTCAAGACAAAAAATTGTCATTGGAAGTACTTTCAAATTGAAAACATTTTATAGAGCATGTTTTTCAACTCTTCTTAGTTCTAAATTAAATTCTTCTTTCTTTTTTTATTTTAATACCATGTGAGAATACAATTTTTTTAGAAAATAAAATATATTTTATTCAGTTATGCAATTTATTTGTGCAATATAAGTAATTCTATATATTTAGACAGAAAATGTTTGACACACTCTAGAACATCTTATTTAAAATCATCCTTTTCGTAATTTAATCTAATCTAACGAATTTGTCTTAGGCCTTTTTTACTCAGTCAGTATTTGTATTTGTAGAAGTCAAAAACAACATTGTTTTAGTTCAAACCAACATTTCGTTTTAATAGAAATGCGAGATGCGAAATGTTTCTGAATAAAGATCAGATATATGGAAATTATTATTTTTTTTTCACTGCCCCTAAAATTATGTCATAATTTTTGGCGAAGAGGAAACTATGCATCACTTGTCACCATCCAGGTTTATGGTCCGATTAATAACCGTATTTACGATTCGGTGCGAATAGTGTTGCATCATAGCATTTGCTAATATGTATTGCAGACTTTTGCATTACATGAACAAAATATATAAATATATATAAATATGTAACGTCAAAAATCTATAGCACTAATATGCTAACTGATATTCTTCACATATAAGGCGTTGGTTTGTCTATTATGAGTAGGGACAGCCGCTTGTTAATGTTGATTAATTATGGTGTTATGAACTTGACATGTTAAAACCAGTATATGTTATTTCAATAATCGTTCACTTTAACAAAAAGTTTTTTGTACAATTCTTTTGTTAGATCAAAAAATTCGTTAGAATTAATTAATTCGTTTAACAAAGAAATTTAGTTAATAATAGTTAAGTAATATTTTTTGAAAATTTTGTTCTTCAAAATATAAATTCGTGTTTTTTGATGTTCTCTATTAGTTCTTTATCTATTTCCAGTTGCAAGTCTACTAATCACAATCATTATTTGTGGTGTAATGTATATAATTTTTTTAACGTCTATGCTTGCAAATCGCAGCATTTTTGAGAATCATTTACCTTGTTATTTCTGCGTTAGATTTCCTTTCATATTAGCACTTTGTTTTGCAGTATTTAAACATTGACCACTCTATATAACTATGCAGAATTCATTATATAGAATAGAAACATTTATAAATTTTATATATTTGAAGACTATACTGTGTTAGTTGACACCAATTCGAAGAAATTATATGTATTTTTTACATTTCTGATTATTAAATATTGCAACTTTATAAATTTTAAATATTTTTGGTTTGTTAAAAAGCATTCAACATGGTTGCCCATGCCTGGCTTAACCCTTCGCTTTTTTGTCGCTTGTGTGAATACTTTATTTTTTTCTTTTATATCGTATCTTAATTTTTGTTTTTGTATTTCTTTTACAGTTATTTGGATTATAATAGAATTGAATATATCGGAGAGACCTTTGCACAATTGGATAATTTGCATTTACTGTAAGTAAAAAAATTGCTTAACATAAAATTGAAACTTAAATTTTCTTAATAAAATATTCTACTGAATATTTTTTGTGAAAATTAAGGCAGAATTTATTTAAATTCATTAAATATTGGCTAAATTATTTATGGTACAAAAAATTGTGTCTGTTATATTGAAAAGAAAAAAGTGAAGGTCAAAGCTATAGTTGGAACGTAAAAAAAAAAATTAATATTGGGAATTGGGTGATATTACTCATATGGTAGATGTTGGCCTTTCTATGTTATTTCATTTATATACTGTATTTGATTAAAATAATAAATATTTCGTAACCAACGTTAAACTGTTTGTAAGCTTCCAATTTCCTGCTTTATGTAAGAACAAGATTAAGTATCACTTGCTTATACCAGGGCTTCGTACCGGAAATTTGCACGCTCCGGTTTTCTCTTCAATTTTGAAAAAATAGTTTTATAACTTCTGAAAATAACCAATATAATTTGCTTTGTTGGATTTGGTCCTGGCAAAAATATCAAATTTTTCGGTTTACGGTTCAGTTAATTCACAAAACTTACGTTTAAAAAACATTTTAAATTGTTTAAAAATGTCTGCTCTACTTATTAACATTTTGAAGTTGAGAGAAAACAGACTTAGATAGTTTTGAAAGGGTTAGGCACTATGCCACCACGTCACTGCATCCTTTGAGAATTATTGTAACAAACCCACTTTAGTTCGATAGGCTCGAAGCAGTTAAGAATGTCATTATGTCCCTTGTAGAGATGTTGCCTATTTCCGTTAAAAGTGGATCGGCACTTATGGAAAATAGACTTACTCTCTCATATACTTACTCTGTTCATATTTAGGTAAAAAACCCGAAAGTAACAAAGATCAAGTGCGGCTAGTGCATCCTTAATTTGATAATTTCACCGAAGATCCGGTCTTCCTCCACGTCTTCTTCCTTTAACTGCTACTTCCATCTTTTTCCATGGAGCATTGTCATCCATTCTCATGACATGCCCAAACTAGTCAACTTATTGAATGTTAATTTGCTAAATGTTGTTAATAAAGCGCATATGGCTTTATAGCTTGTTTCATTCAGATATGGTAGTCGGTACCAGGATCAAAGATATTTCAGTGCGGGTTCATTCTTCTGTGATAGCGTACATGCTTTTCCACCATACAGAAAACACAGGTAGGATAAATGACTTATAGAGTGTAATTTTGCCAGTGGAGAGACCATCTATATCTCACTTGCTTTCTAAGCTCATAGAAGCACCTATTGGCAATGCTTTCTAGGCTGTCATCGTTGTTGTTAGTTATGGCTGTGCTAAGATAAATGAAATCCTTGACAGCTTCGAAACTATAAGCGCCAAGGTTACCGAGCTGAGGCATTGCGGCGTGAATTTAATATGTTATGTTGTTGTGGATAGCTGCTTTACAATCAACAAAAAAATTATGGCTGTCGGAGCGATGACTGTGAACATTTACCAGGATTTGTCACAATGTGAATATCTGGTTAATTATGGAGCAACTAGGTTAAAATCAATTAGTGTATTGGTATGTATTTTTAACATTACACACAGGTACGATTGAAAGCACCAGTTACTCGTAAAGCCATATTAAATGACTAAAAATATTAAAACCTGTTAATTAGTAGCATTGAAAATAAAATGAATAATTGAGTTTACTAGTGTAATTAAAAATGAAATAAGTTATGCTACTTAATAACACCTATGCGCATTTTGTGAATTGAGCAACTTAAGACCTAACCGATAGATCAAAAACCAATAGCGATATAACCAGTTACTCCATAAACTCATATATAATCAAATAAATCAAATACTTCTTACACCTCATTTAGTTTACGAGTGTAGAAGTATTAACTCACAGAATAGCAGTTCTAGGCTAACTTTAGTGTAAGATTCCGGCCAAATGAGTTTCTATTGGAGAGCTTCTGTGCCTTTTACCTATAAGTTTCTGTTTCTGCCAATTACAGACGAGGATGGAATAATGATAACTTTTTGTGATTGAAATTTACTAAATCTGATAATGCATTCTGGTTAAGGGCAACATGCCCCTTAACTTGGATTTTAGATTTTAAATCTAGAATTTCAGACTTAAGCCATAGAAACCAGATAGAAGTGTTTAAAAAAATATTGTATTTTATGGGATCCTGGGCGATATGAACGACGATATTATGTTATCATGATGCGTTTAAATATTAGAAAATTTGTTTATGCGTATTTAGTTTAATCGTTATCATTTCAGATTTATAAATTAGTTGTATGAATTACTACACATTTAATTTATGAATTATAGTAATATAAAAATTCATATTATATATAGTGGAGCAGCTTTCTCAAATATGTGAATTGTGATGCTCTTTTAATTAATTGGTTATACCTTAAAATCATAATTAAATATGGGACGCGAAGGTTATTTTAATTAATATGTGAAAGTGAAGACTTTTTTTATTAAAAAACATTTAACAGAAAAATTGTTTAAATAAATATTAAATTTTTTTAAATAAATATAGATGTTTAAACTAAACCACTTTTTAAATATATTTTTTATTTATTAGAGAAGAGAGAATCTGTAAAAAACGATTATTTATCAGTGCATATAACAAACAGTGCTATACATATTGTACATCAGCAAATTACTTTCAAAATGAAATAATTATCCTTGTTCTTAAAATCTAACAAATTTATATATTATTGCCTTATGTAAACTGAATTTGATTGGCATATATAATTAAAATGCAATATTCCTCCATATTTTCGAAAGTCATAAATAATTCAATACACAATAAATCAGAAAGTTCAACGATTAACTATTATCGTTCACACATTAAATAAACAATTTTTGTTATATATGAGTAAACCATATACATTATTAAAGAAAATTTGTTTTTTTCCAACCCATCGCAGACAGCATTTACAATACACTCCAACATTAACATGTATTGAACCTCAACTGAGACTGACTGCAAGCGACACATGTTGCGTATACGCACTGTTGACCCAAACCCTGTACCTTTTGACAAATTAATGTGTCTACTTTTAACTTTGCCTTACTTATGTGTTTATTATTTATTGGCAAATAAGCTCAATATTCTAACAGAAATGCTGAAAGTCCAGTGAGTATGCAAATTGTAGGGCTTAAGTTAATGAAAAAACCAAGTAAAAAAAAAGAAAAACAATAAATTGAAAACCATTATTTTGTCAAATAAGATCAATTTTAGTACATTTGTCACCTTAATGGGCTATCCTTGCAAAATATGTTCAAGGACATGAAATAATACCGTTGTCTCTGCCTTTCGGTTCGGTGTGATTTCTGTTACTTTTAATTTCTATTTGTGTACAGAAGTTGAGCTTCTGAACCTGTAGCGTTTGTAGTGGGATGGTGGGGTTAAGACTTTATTTGGCCCTTTTAGGTTTCCATATGTCCAGCAGTGAAAGATTAAGTTACAAAGCTAAACAATAAATTTAATACTGGCACAAATCTAGTTTACGTCTAATTGAAATGAAAGAGTGTTAGAGATAAATTTAAAACGGTTTTGTGTACATGAATTAATACCATAGATTTAAAGGATTGAACCACATTTAGTTAGGGTTTTAAATGAGAAGTTCTAAGCATGATATGTTTTCAAATAAACAAATAAAAACGTAAAATATTTCAGTTAAACTTAATATGAGATAAATGTTGCATAGAAAAAGTGATTACAAATTTAGAATAACAAAATATAAAACATTTTTTGTCTAATTTGCATCCCTAAAAGAGATTAATTTAAGTGAACAGTTATTATAAACATTCTGAACCCTTTTAAAATACTTAAGTCTGAGCGGTTATATGTCCCAAAGGTTAGTTTTACATTTAAAATTAAGTTGCAATGTTTTAAAGTACTCTTCAGTTTCTATATGTTAATACTGAGTTTTAATCCAAGCGAGAATATCTATATAAAATAAAACAAGTTGCAGTATTGTGGTGATGGCTAAGAACAAAATAGTTCTTAATTTGTTTATGAAGAATCTTTAAAGTAACATTAAATATATTATCACAAAGAAAGATGTATTTCATTTACTTTTATATTTTCTATTGATTAAATAAAATAATAATAATAATAATAAATGAATAGAGTTCTTCAGTCTCTTAGGTCACGTCTAATAAAAAACCCCAATTTTTTTTCGAGCGGTGAAATTACTATTACTTTGCTTTCTCGAGAATATCATTCGCTTAAAACCAGTATGAACCAGTATGAAAGAAAACCCTACAGTACTAAATAGGATGTACTATTTTTTTTTTTTGTAAAAACCACTGGTTCATTTTGTAAATCTTAATAAATGTATATTTAATATCTTTATTAAAGAACCCAGATGAAATATTTGTACACACATTTTAAATTCCAACAAAATCTTTTGCTATACAAGCACATTAGAAACTTTTTCAAAACGTTTGATTGACCAAAACTAAAATACACTAAAATATGTTCACTATGTTTGTAAAAAAGAAACACTGAATATTTAATATGGAATGTCAGAAAAAGTACAAAGTAGTGTACTGTTTCGGATATGTCGCTTTGAGTTTTAGTGAACTTCTTCTGTTTCTTGTGTTGTTTATCAACGTAAACACTAAGAATTATTTGGTGTGTTTCAGGCATGAGTAGTAGTGGAATATCCACTATGCGATTTACTATTTAAAACGTTGATAATGTGTAAAAACTGATAATAAAATCTTTATATGAGATAATGTGAAACTAAAGCAATTTGGACGTTGATTTTATGAAAATACTGATAATGCAAGATCGTTATAAAGAATTTTTTTTAATTAAACAAATGTACAAATATACAAATGATGGTAATTCGAATCATGTGTATAAAATAGTTACTGCTGACAAGTCATGGATGTACTATCCATAAAATCTTATAACTAAATAGCACTTGACTGTATGGAGTTTTTATGATGAACCAAATTATAACTATGTGGTCGGCAGCTATGTGACTTGAACAGTCGGAAAAACTAATCCAGTTGGTACAGAGCCATTATACTGAACAGGTCGATTCTGAATGCCACACCACAATTTGCTTGTTAAAATTATTAGCAGAAATGAAGACAGCTAACACCTAAAGACCGATAGTTTTCCATCATAGCAACATAAAGAGAACTTTTACACATTCAATGCAAAATTGGCTTATTGAACAAACATTCGATATATAGCGCTAATTTGGCATCCAATTCGTATTTTTATTCCTCCACGTCAACTAGAAATTACTGTGGCAATGATTTTTATTTTCAGAACGAATTATGGATGCTAGTTAGGATGCCAAAGATGAGTATCATCAGTCACACACCAATTTCTTCTTCTTAATTTGTTCTTTTCTCAATTTCTTATTGCTATTACTGTATTTTTTATAGATCAAAATATAATCAGTTAATACACATAGGTTTTTACCTTTATAGTTATTTTTATAATTTTTTATTATTTCATATTTGATATTAAAAATCAGATGATGCTTTAAAAATTGTCTTTTTTATCTTTAGTGATTTGAGCTGGAATCGTATAAGTTCTATACATACGGAAGCATTTTGGGGACTTACGGATATCAGAGATATGTAAGTACATATATTTATTTCTATCATTATATTGTTTTGTAATTTGAATGTTATATTAGTATAGTCAAAAAAAATAATTGGGCGGTTTTTTTTTAAATGTGATTGAATTGTAATGAAGTGGAAAGGTCATTCATTGTCAGATATTTACCGATATGCCTACCAAATTTAAAAAAAACTGGTCAAAACATCTCAAAAATTCTTTCTGTTAAATACACTTTAAGTTATTTAAGTTACTACTTTAAGTTATAATTACTAATTTGCCATAAAAAATCAAAATAAATTATTAGTTTAATTATATTTTTTTTATAATCACAGCATGTGGTTTTTATACAAAAGTTATAGGTTGCACATAATAGAAATATAGATAGATTCAAATATCGTTATTGTTTATTAACATTCATCACACAACATCACATTTAAGGAATTTGAAATGGACTCAATTCAAAATTGTATCGACAAAATATTTATGGGGTTTAATTTCATTTATACGAATCGTTTTATGTCAAGTAAATATGTTATCACATACTAACGACAAAGATTTCAAATGTTCGAGAAGCTAAGAAGAAAGTACAGACATACAATTATCAGTAAGTTTCTTTATATTAAATGATATCAACATAGATCCTGTATTGATTTCCAAGGACAAAAAATGTTTGTTTAAAAAATATTAATTTTGCTTATCTTATTATCTTCCCTCTATCCTGTACGGACTTATTTGTATTTCTATGAAATGACGATAAGCTGTTCTCTGATATATCAGAGATTAAGGTCCATTTTCATTTAATATTTTTTTAAGTAATCAAAATTAGTTGGTTAGGTGTAGTTATAAGAGCGTATTTACGACAGACTCCACGAAGATCGTCCGTTGCATTACCTTAGACCCCTTATTTTAGGATGTCTCCTTATGTTATATTAAGATTTTTTTTGATATTCAAGAGAGTTTTTATAAAAAGTGTGTTCCTGATTTAAGAGCTACCAATATTTATTGGTAATGAAAAAAATTAAGTAAAATCGTAGTTTGATTAATATAAATTTGCATCTTCTTTTCTACACCTATAAAACAACGAAACAAAACAATCATTTAAAAAAAATTTATGGAGGAATTTCACTTTTAAGCATACGCTAGAAAATATTCGTATCCTAGATAAATGCCTTAAACAGAAAACCGATCAACGTACAGAAAAATATCATACAGTATAAAATCTAATAGATCAACACCAGAATTGACTATCAACAAGCCTTTGACAGAGTTTTCCGTAATAAGACAGCTATAGCGCACAGAACTTTCAAACTTTATATCTTAATTAATTCACCTCGTATAAGCCACACATTAAAACACCAAAGCACAAGTATTCATTCATTCAGATAAATCTCTCTGAGAATTAGGCTATTAGGCAATAATGTGATATAATAAGCTGTTTAACATCATATTATCTTACGCGATAGCAAATGCGACAAAAACCTACTATACAATCACCCCAACTACTTTTTTGTTGTGATTACATATGTTGATCAAATGACAATTATTGTTACTATCCAAAAAATCTAACGAACATAGAGCACACTCTATAATGTAAAAATATATACGTAGAAGTTCGAAAGTGTTTCGAGAATTGTACACTTAATTAAAAACGATAATAATATTCACGGTTATATTAACCTCACCAAAAATACTTAAAATGCAACTCATAATGTATGACTGTGAGATATAAACAATAGACTACATTGTGAAGAATAAGCTCTGAATATTCGAAAAGAATATACTGTGCTCATTATTCGAACCTCCACAAATATAAGATGAGTAAAATCGCATAAGGAAAATAATAATGAGTTTCTTAGACTACTGCAGAAGCAGATATAGTAAACTTAAAGCACCTTTGATGTGAAATCACATCGCGAGTCTATATTAATTCAAAACAGAGAAGAAGACCGAGAACTAATTAGAAATATTAGGTAAAATATATTAGATGATCACTATATAAGATAGTAGACTATCGAAGACGTATATTAAATAAGCCAAGGATCATCCTAAGCTGTATATCTATTTCTACAAATAAAAAATTCTTTCTAATTAAATTAAATCTGAATATTTAGCTTCTATAAACTGTTTAAAATAATAGCTTAAACTGCTTATAAAATATAATTAAAAATATTGAATACACTAAATTTAATATCCGAAAACTCCTTTATTTAATTGTATTTTCACAATAAAAACTTATTTTCTAATATGCAAATTTTCGCAAGTTTATTGTTTTTCAAATACGATTTTTATTTCATTCCCCTCGCCATTTACTCTCATTTACGTTATTTTATTTAGAATAATTTCAATAAATGAAATTTATGCACCCCGCTCTGAGGGAAAGTAATCAAAATAAAAAGCTAAGTTTTTCCCTAATAGAAGTGGAAGAGCAAAGTGTAAATAAATTGTTTTTATGCAAGTTACTCGGACTCGGACTAGTATTCGTATCACAGTTGTTTGCAAACAACTGCAAAAATACACCGAATTATCTCTATATGCATAAATGGTGACGTATATACATATATATAACTATACATATACGTCACCACATGTTCACATATACATGCTGACAATATAGTTTAAAATATCAGATTCGCACCAAAAGTGCATTGAATTAAACAAAAAAAAAATAGTATTAAGTAAATTCCAAATAATTGTCGATATTAACAGATCAAGAATTACGCTACTATTTAATATGAGTATGACGATTTTTTTATATCTATATAATATATTGTTCTTACGAATCTAGTGATTCATATATAGTAGATATATCGGTAACAATGTATATCTAACTATCTAATAAGATCGTCGTATTACATTGGCCAAGTAATTTTAAGCGGTTCTTGAGTTGGCCAATTCTTGCCATTAAGATAGAGAGTTCGCAAAAAATGATAGCCTGGCCAACCTAAGTACATATAGTCCAACCTTAAGTTTATAACCAAGTTCCGTGAGTTTGTTCCAAATAGTCAGAGATGTGTGTGACATGGCATTGTCATGATGGAATACAACTGTATTTTTGTTGGCCAGTTCTACTCGCTGTTCTTTGATTGTTTCATTCTAGCGGTCGATTTGTAAATAGTAGAGGATCGAACCAGCCATTGCACCAGTATGCCGCAGCTCGCAATAGATAATTACTTTCCAATCCTTCCAAATTCTCAACATAACTTTATTTGCTGTCAATCTAGACTTTGAAATCGTTTGTAGAGGTCATCGGTGATATTCTTATATTTTATTCATTTTTCATAACCGGTATTGATTCGTTTTAAAAGTGGTTTAATTTCGTTGTGTTTCAGCAGTTTTCATTAAAGGTTATTTTGTCAATTAATTATTTTTCGCTAATTCATGTGATGCCCAAACATTGAGTGTCTGCTCTTTTTTTTTAGTCCCACCGTTAATTCTTGACAGCTTGCGTGTCGGTTGTTTCATCAATTGTAAAATTTCATTAACATTAACTACATCTGTTAAAATCTTTTATATGTTTTTTGCAACATCGCCATTATACTTCTTGAGCATTTGTGTGCACTAATTGACATGAGCAGATAAATGATGAGGGATTCAACGAAAATAAACCTTTCTCGAAGTTAAATGATCTTACAACATTTTGTATATGGTGGTGGAATTCATGGTTTGGGTTCCACTTCAACTTTACTCTCACAGTGTGTCGTATGACGATCTTGCATTATCAGTTTTTGCACAGCATCAATGTTTTCTAGCACAACAACTGACTTTTGGACGACCTCCACGAATTTCTTCTTCGTCAGTGAGGGAACTGCGACCACGATTAACATGATTACAATCATTGTACCAGCGTTTCACAGTGGCAAAAGATGGAATTTTATCGCCAAATGTAAAGTAAGTTGATCGATTTACGTCAAAAGTCGTGATAAATCATCGCACGAAAATTTTCTCGCGTTTATTCAATTAACAAATCACTGCAAATACTCGTAACATAAATAATGCTCTTTTGACAGAAGTCTACGGTATGTTCGTCAGATGACACCCGACAACAATCAGTGTTGCCAAGACTCAAAATATAAAAATAGTGACTTTAGTAGAACTTAGGAATTAAAAATTTATGAAACTCTCGTTATATACTTATTATTATATAACTGGTTGAATATAAAGTCAGTCTTATTTTACATCTCATAACGTAGTAGAAGAGTAATGACATATAACCAAAAAATGTCGACGTTCCTGAAATATAAGTAACGCTGATGGCCGCGTACAAATCTACAGATTTGACAGTCGTAGTAAATATGAAATTTAAATTTTAGGGCTACAATGGAACAAGTACAAGTTATAGAAAAATATGTATAATAAATAAAAAAATGGTGTTGAGGTGATCACACAATTTGATAAATAAACAACTACATCGGTCGATATACATTGTGATAATATCCATACGGCTTTCTACAACAAAATATACAATTTTTAATTAGGAATAGATCTAAAATAAGACATATATATTATATTCTCATGGAAACACGTTGTTGCCAACTGATATAACAGAATCAGATTTAAATGGATTGCAAAGGCAAAGGCTATACGCTTCATATAGAACAGATATATGGTAACATCTTCAATTGCATTTTCACTTTTATAATAAACTGCATATACATACTAAAAATGTAGTTAATACTACAAAGAAAAAAAAATTGATTGACCAGACAAGTGCATACAATGACATAAAAACTATTAACAGCATTAAAGCTAGCGACTGCAAGCTCATATATACAGCAATCCTTACGCACACACGCAAACACGTTTGCCGGCATACTGTTGCATATTAGCTTAACAGCATCATCTGTTTACGTTCCCGCGCATTTATGGCTGTCTGCATTGATTGCATGTTTGTTGTGGGCAAAGCATGGATGGTCGGGCTCACAGCAGTGGCAATTCATACAAATGATCCGGTTCTGCTTTGGCTGGGTGGCGATACAAACAGATGAAGGGTCTCGAAGCTAAAAAGCCATTGAATTGC